TGTGCTGTATTAGTTTTTAAACTTGTATTATTTTTTTCTTTTTGAGTTGGAGTCTCACTCTGTCGCCCAGACTGGAGTGCAGTGACCACTCCCGGCCACCGCAGCCTCGACCTGCTGGGCTTCAGCGATCCTTCCGCCTCAGCCTTCCGAGTAGCCAGAATTATAGGCATGCGCTACCACGCCCGGCTGATTTTTTGAGTTATTGTGGAGATGAGGTCTCGCTGCCCAGGCGGGTCTCGAACCCGCGGGCTCAGGCAGTCCATTCACCTCAGCCTCCCAAAGGCACGGGATTACAGGCTGAGCCACCGAGCCCGTCTTATTATTTTTTACTGTGGGGTTTTTTTCCTGAATTTTTTTTTTTTTTTTTGCGTTGGAGTCTCTCACTCTGTCACCCAGGTTGCAGTGCAGTGGCACACTCACGGCGACCCCACCGTCGACCTGCTGGGCTTAGACGATCCTTCCACCTCAGCCTTCCAAGTAGCCAGAACTATAGGCATGTGCTACCACGTCCCGGCTAATTTTTTGATTTATTGTAGAGACAAGGTCTCGCCAAGTTGATCTTGAACCCACGGGCTCAGGCAGTCCACTCACCTCGGCCTCCCAAAGTGCCGGGGCTACAGGCTGAGCTACCGAGCCCAACCTTCCCTGAATATTTGCTGTCCACAGTTGGTTGAACCCATGGGTGCAAAACTCATGAATACAGACGGCTGACTATACCTTCTAAAATAAGTAATCAGTGCCCCCTGGGTCTTTGTGTAGTCATATTTCTCTCGTGCTGCATCCAGCAAGGTAAGAGAGAGGAGACGAGCCATTTCCAGGTATTGCTATGGAGGTGAGTTCTGCTTGTGATCTTTTACCCCACTCTGGCTTTCCAAAGGTCGCCTGGCCTGGGCTCCAAAGATTCTTGGCCCAGGCCAGGCGTGGTGGTTCATGCCGGTAATCCCAGCAGTTTGGGAGGCCAAGGTAAAAGGATTGCCTGAGCCCATGGGTTCGAGACCAGACTGGGCAACTTGGTGAGGCCTCAGCTCTACAATAAATCAAAAAATTAACCGGGTGTGGTGGTGCACACCTGTAGTTCCAGCTACTTGGAAGGCTGAGGTGGAAGGATCACCTGAGCCCAGCAGGTCGAGGCTGCAGTGTCCATGAACATGCCACTGCACTCCAGCCTGAGTGACAAGATTGAGACTCCAACTCAAAAAACAACAACAAAAAACAAGATTTCTGGCACATGTCAGGCATACAATAAATGTTATCACATGGATGTCATCAGGTGCATCCCTGAGTGTACTAGTCTTCTTTTCTTTCCTCCTTATCCCACAGTTGACTTTCTCCCTTTGGTCTTGTTTTAACGATGACAGGTGAAAAGCTCCTAAAACCACTTGCAGAAGATGAGAAGTCAGGCCCAAATGTTTGGGACATCTTGGGGAATCTGGTGTAAATATCTATCTGTACTTTTGGCTTTGCTTCTTTTCCCTCATCTTATGACTTAGGCTTTGTAAGGATCAGGGAGCAGAGTTGTACATCTAGTACTTTGTTGGGGTGAGCGTGGGGCGGCTAGGGAGACACTCTTCCCAGGAATGTCTCTGGCTCAGCATGTTAAACAGTCAGGGGACACAGTGGAATCTGGGCATTGGGGTACATGAGACTGGAGGAGGAAGACTGCACATTGCAATCCTCTCATGAGAAAAAGGGCATGGTGAGGCTGACCCAGGTTTTCTCCTGCACCGAAGGTTACTAAGCCCCTAGAAGCTGTAAAGAGACTTTAGGGACACCTTTGGGGAAATGGCTGACCTTTGGATCATTCGTCAAACCTCCAATCCTTTCTGCTGAAACCAAAAAGACTTAATTTTTCTCTTGAGGGAATATAATTGCCAGTTTCTACACTGGCCCCCTTGGAACAGGAAGCTGGACTAATATGTGAAACAGTCCTCCTATTCATCCTCCTCTTATGTCCCCCTGCCCTGTTTATAGGTGTCTTCTCCCCCCCCCCCCCGGGTCCTTTCCCCAACTGGGAAACCTTGGTTGATGAGAAATTCTTTTTGGCCACTTCCAGGCTCCTGTAGGCAACAGTAGGCCCAGGAACAGCCTCCTTTCTAAACCCTTGCTTTTGCCTAACATCCCCTGGCTGCTGTCCCCATGTGACCCAAATAAACAGATGATCATGTGAAGCCAGTAAGGCTGTTTGTTTTAAATAGCAAGCATCTCCACTAAGCCCTGGAGCAGATGGGGTATTGGGGGCAAGGGAGAGCCCGGCATTCAAGTCTGTGTTTGCCCCACTCTTATCTCCTGCCTCCGCACCTCTGGAGGAAAGGTGTCTTCAGAATGCTCCTTTTCAGAGAGGTGCCTGGTTGAGCTGACCAGTGAGAAGAAGAGTAAGAAAGATTGGACTTTAGTCTCTAGCAGGGACTCCAGGGTTGTATGAGCGCCCTGACCACATGAGGGCAGCAGGAAGAGATGGCTGGATGTAGTGCTCGACACACTGCATTGCTGACCCCTCACCAAATAACTTGGTCAACAGCATTATCTCAGGTCTCTATTATGTACAGATGCTCCTCAACTTACAGTGGGTTTAACTAGACATGGCCCCATCCTCCACTGAGGAGCATATTGAATGAGTGTCACTTTCACACCATCATAAAGTCAAAAATCATAAGTCGAGCCATCATAACAGTATACAGGGACCGTCTGTATACTGTTTAAGGTCCCCTCCCCCCCACTCACTGCCTGTATATTGCCTTTAAATGTCCCATTTTCCTAGTTGTGCAGAGCGCGCCAGGTCCAACCATACTAATAGCAGATGGCAGACACTTGAAGCCATGTCAGGGTTAGCACAGATCTAGCCCTCCCAGAAAGACGATTCTCATCCGCTGTAGAAGAACTGGGCTTTTGTGTTCTAATCCACCTTTGCTCCTGCTTCACCTTAAGCAAAGTCTGGCACCTGGTCATTTACGTGTCTGGTGGTCTCTCCATGCTCAGCTCCAGATGCTGGGGCGTTACATGTGAAAAGATCACAGCCCCCTGTAGACTGGCAACAACAACCCCCTTCCTCCTGTTCATGAGGTTCTTCACTTCCAGGATCTGAGCAGATGTTCTTTCCCTAGTATGCGTTGTGATGCCCTCAAAGGAAAGGAGCAAACCTTAATTTATGCTCGTTTTCTGTGCTCCTAGCTCTCCCAAATTAGACCCCAAAATAGGAACCTTTGCTTGTGAGGTCGCCATGTGGATGGCTTGGATGGGCAGGGTGGCCTGCCTCAGCCATCCTTATAAAGGCTTGCTTTCTGGTTCTGCGTGATGGTGAAGCCCAGGCTGCAGAGCCCTCTACCCACTGGTATTGGGTGCCCTACTCTTGGACTGGATAGCCAAAAACGTTGGGGCCAGAACGGAGGGTCTTACACTTAGCACTGGCACAGCAGAACTCGTCATGTTCCAGGGTGGCCCAAGTATGCCTTCAGCCGACCTGTGTCTTTGAGTACCATGTACCAGTGGGGTTTGTGCGGCCTCCACCGAAGAGGCGGCAGTTGGGTTTCAGGTGATGGGGATTTTTGTTGCCCCAATCACAGTGTGTTAAGTGGTCAGAGCTCTTCCGATGCCCACAGTTTAATATTCTTCCCCGGCTTCTTTCTAGTCAGCGGCCCTGCCTCAGAACTGGTTTCTAAGAGTCGCCTGTGGGGTCAGAGATAAGTAAAATCTTCTCCCCACGGGACGAAGAGCAGGTGGAATACGGAATGACCTTAGCCTAGTCCTTTCCCGTCTCGGCTTCAGTTTCCTCATTTGTAAAGTGAGAGAAGTTGGAACAAGCTGGTCACAAAGGGCTAACTTCCTGACTGCACCCAAGGCGCTCCCAAACACCAGCGCCAGGAAGAAGCGGGCGGGCGAGCGGGGGTCCCCGCCCTCCGGGCGAGCGCGGTTAAAGCCAGACGCAACGACCCCGCCTCCGCGCCGCGCCCGCTGACTCGGTCGCCTAGCGGCTGAGAGGGCCGGGCTTCCGCCCTCCACGTTGTTGTTCCCGATTTGGGCCACGCCCCCTTGGCCTGGGCTGTGGGTGCTTCGTCTGAGCCGCCCGGGCCCGGGCCCAGAGCAAAGGGTGGCCTCTGGGGTGGCACAGTTGGAGTCTCCACCCACATCAGAAACGCGTGGACAAAGGCACGAATTTGATGGAAGGAAAGATAAAGACTTGGCTTTAAGTGGAGGGTGGTGAAAGTAAGGGGCACGACTGCGGGATTCCCCTTACGGCGTCGCATCCTACATTCACCCAGTAGCCCCATCGGATGGCACCCGCGAATGTGACCCTGCAGTTGCTGGCCCTTTAAACGGAAGGCTGGCGGCGCGGGGTGTCCATGTGGAGCTGCTCCATGCCGTGTTGTCCTGCCCGCCCATTGGCCCGCGGCCCGGTGACGTCGCCTAATAGGATGCGAACGCACTGCGGGGGGAGGAACGGAGAGAAAGCGCGGACCGGATCGCCACTCCGCTCCCTCTGCCTGTTCTCTGACAGTCTCCAGCCGCCGTCAGCCCCGCCTAGGGGCGGATCCCGGGGGAATTGCGACAACCGGGTGGTTGCGAGATTGAGGTCGCGTGTGGGTGGCGAGCGGAGACCCAAGGGTCAGGCCAGTCTCTGCCATCCTAAGATTTCCCTGACCTGAAATATCCTTATTTGAGCTATCTTACGTCTTACATTTTCCACCCTTCCCGCTCTCCAGCGGGACAGATTTGGTCGTGAATGACCCAGACTCGCAGTCCTTGCTCAACTTGTGGCTTGCGATCGGGGCGGAGCGAGCCGGGAGACCGGAAACACGGCGCGCAAACCTGGCTGGATCTTCTCCCACCCCCAGTCCAGGCCACGTGTGCGCGCGCCGTCTGTAGTGGGCGGGACCAGCCCGCGCGCGATCCCGCCCCACCCTTCATGAGACGCCGCGGCCCTGCGGGCGGGGGCTCCGGTCCGGGCTTTGGCTGCGGCCCCGGTGTAGTAGCGGGGGCGGCGGCCGGGGGCAGCGCGGCTCCTTCCCTTGTTGTGTGTGTCGGTGCCTCCTCGCCATCTTGTTGCAAAGCCCTTTCTTGTCGGCGGGACTCCCGGGGGCCGCGGGGCGGGAGGCATCAGAAGGGAGGAAGAGAGGGAGGGGAAGAAGGAAAGCAGTGCCGCCCTTTTTTTTTTTGCATCACATATTTTAAAATTTGCAGATTTATATTTTGCAAATATTCGGAGGGACATTGATTTTTCTCCCCGTGCTCCCCTGTTCTTCCCTGCGGAGTGCGCTGCGCCGCCCAGCCCTGTCGCCCCCCGGAGGTGATCCCTCCCTCCTGCCTGCCCGCCAGCCTGCCCTGTGCCTGGCTCGCGGGCCGCAGCCTCGGCCCCGGCGCGCCCCCGGCAGCTCTCGGCGCGATGAGCATAGAGACGCTACTGGAGGCGGCCCGCTTCCTGGAATGGCAAGCGCAGCAACAACAGAGAGCACGTGGTGAGCGGCCGGGCTGGGCCCCTGGGGCACCGGGGAAGGGGAAGCGAGTGACCCCAGTCCCCGAACCCACGCGAAACCGCGGGCAGGCTCCCCTTCCCGGGAGGCCTGCGAACCCGGGCAACGCACAGTTCCCTGCAAAGAGCCCCCGCCCGGGGAGGAGTGATGTGGGCAGTGAAATTAATTAATGATTTCATTAACATGCAGCGAGGGACATGGCTCCTGCGGGCGCCACCCCAGCTGCCAGGCACCCCTGTGCACCTTTCGTGGGGTCTCCTTTGGCGGGGGCCGCTGGAGCCCTCCGTGGGTAGCGCTGAGGATGTGTGAGCCGGGGGGTGGGGTGAGCACTGGTGTTGCGTGGGGGTGGCAGGCCCGCGTGTGCGTGCGTGTGTGCACGGGGGCTGTGTGATGTGAGCCCCGGCAGAGCAGATGAACGGACGTGTACACGGGCGTGTGTGTAGCACACGAGTGGGCGTGTGTGTAACGGAGTGGGGGTGGGGATTACTCTACGCGGAACAGCTCTCCGGCTTCCCTGGCCCTGTGGGGAGGGTGCGGGGGGCGCTCCCGGCAGATCTACGCGCCGCTTGGGGCGGAGGCGGCCTTTGCAGAATGAAATGACATCGCGTGTCTTATGATCCTGGCCAGCCCCGCCTGACCCCGCCTCCCAGAGCTGGGCTGGGTCGCGCGTCAGGGGTTTGGGTGAGAATCGGGCTCACGGGGTGGCTGCGAAACGGCTCGCGGGTCGCTGGGGGCAGCCCCCGTGCCCCCGTCGCTACGACCTGCTTTAGCCAGTGTGGAATGTGGCGTGTCTGCGCGTTCCAAACCCGCTCTCGCCTGGAATGTTGCGTGTGCCTGCGTTCCAAGCCCGTTGGTTACACCGGGTGGTGACGTGGACGGACTCCGCCCCCGACCACGTGCACCGGGGACACTCCCGCTGGGGACGGCGCGGCCGGGCCCCTCCTCGCCGCCTCGCGCTCGGCCGGGGGCGGGGCCTGGGCGGGGCTGGCGAGGGGCCTTGCGCCGGGTTGGGCCCCGGCCTGGCCTCTGGGCATCTCCCTGGGAGAGCCTTTGCCCTGCGGAGGAGGAGTGAGCTCACCTGTCGGTTTTCGCCCCGAACCTCTTGTGTTTGATCCTGAGGCGAGGGAAACCCTCAGAATCTCAGGGCGAAAGCCATTCGGAGCTTCTGTCTTCCCTCTGGTTCCTCCCCCCCGCCCCGAAACGTTCTTACCGGCCTCCCCTACCCGCCCCCCGGCAACATTGGGGCCACACTGGAATGAGCCAGGCTGAGAAGAGGCAAACTTTGGCGCTCCCCAGAAAGAGAGAAGAGACTAATGCCTCCCATCCCCACGGGTCCTTGTTGGTGGTCGCTAGCTGCAGAAATAGGGGTTGGGGGGAAAGACCCTTTTGCAGAGTGCTTGCGAGGGCTTCAGCCCTGGAACGTTGTGCATGCAGTTCCCGAGAACTCCTGTGCTCTTCCAGCCCCCCAGAGCCCCTCGGCAGGGTTGGTTGTGGTGGAAAGAGGGCTTCGCCCTCCTTTCCTTTCTCTCTGCCTATTGTTGCTTCGATGATGAGTCATGCTGGAGGTAGTAGCGTGTGTTGTGTGCGCGCGCGCCGTGTGC